ATAAAGTCTTGAAACTTTTTCTTGAATGCCTCCATTTCTTGAAAATTTGATGACAGTTTCTTACCACAAACACTTAACTGACGGATTCTGTAACGTTTCTTCCATCTGTCAAGCCAACCAACACTTGCTGTAAAATCTGGGTCCCCTTCATTAAATTCATTTCGAAAATGCAACGCCTTTTGCTGTAAAATAGGCCCTGAAATAGGCACACCTTTGTTTCTGAACTGTGTAAACCAAATGTACAAAGCCTCGCTAACTTTTTCATAGTCACACTTTTTCATCGTTTTTCTCTCTTTTAGTGCACCATCTGTAACTCTCGAGGAACACCATTTTTCTATTTCCAATCGTTTCCTTTTCCAGTCTCCTACTGTTACCCGTCCGACGCCATAGTCGTCAGCTACTTTTTGCATCGTCTCTCCTTTGTCCAGTCTCTTGATTGCCTCAAGTTTTTGTTCCATTGATACAACAACTTTCTTTCTTTTCATCGCCATATTCGCGTAAATTTCAGTAAAAATTGCTTCACAACACAACTACATTACTTATGTTAACATGCACGTAAACACTGCACAGTAACACACAGTAAACCGATCCGCATACAATAACAAACTGCACTGAGTGACCATTGGGAAAGGCGAGACATGACCAACACATGAGTCATAGGCTAGACATGTGCGCCTGCTGCACCTGTTGCAATCGATTTTTGTGTTGCGGTGCCGCACCATCAGGAGCAACAAGAAAGAGTACACTCACACTCGCAAACAAGCAGCACACTTTTCTCGTCGCCAATTTATGCGTGTTGTGTTTTTTGTTAGGGGTGTCGGATAAGACGGAATGTCGGATAAGCGAAGGACGGTTAAACGAGACTCCACTGTACTTATTTTCTTCAGGGTTTTTATCTTCATAGCCTAGTCCTTGACCCCAGTCTCAAGGCCTCCAACTCTTCCCATCCCTAATCAGTGGTGGCTTCTGAATAAAATGGCTCCTTAATAATTAATAATCTGTGAGGGAAACCTTTTTTTTTTTTGAGAAGAACCATGACAGTGAAGATCATTCCGAAGCCCTGTTATTTTACCAGAAGGGAAATCATCTTTATGGTGTGCTTCTGAATCCTGCTTCATGTTCCTACGGTTCCTCAGGTACAGAGATTTTTCCGTTCAGACCATTTAGATAGTCCCTTTTCAGACGTTTCATGTTCAGTTGAGGTTAACAGCCTCTAATTAGCTCTTGAGAGATTAATTGGTTAAAGACTTCCATCTCCATCTCTTGCAGTACCTGCAATTTCCCTCTGGCTTCTATTTACAGTGACTGACGACCCAGCAGCGCCTCGTTCTTCCTCCAAGAGCTCTCGCCAAAGCCGGCACTGTTTGGGAAGCCAGTGCGATTTTAGGGGGTCCGTCCTGCACCCCCTCTCATCCCCCAAAGAAGGCGCCAGAGGCTGAAAGCACGTGGGAAGACCAGTCGTGGAAAGAGGGGCGCGTGGCAGACGCCCCCTTCGGATGATCTGTGCGCAAGAGTCCGACCGGGGCACCGGGCCGCGGAGTCGGCGGTGGCGCGGAGGAAAGGCTGAGCAGGGGATCCAACTCCCGGGGCGGGGCCCCTGGAGCT